TATATAAACACACACACAATATAAATACATAATATACAAAAATTCTGTGCGTCTCCTGGGGGCTAAGTCCCCCTTGTCCGTAAAACCTAGTGACGCCCCTGAAGCAATATAAGTAGTGGTGATATTTGGATTTTCACCTTCATCCAGGCACCAAAGAAGGCCAAGAGGAGGGCAGCAGCAGGAGACAGCGGCTCCTCCAACGTGTTCTCCATGTTCGAGCAGAGCCAGATCCAGGAGTACAAAGAGGTGAGGCTGCGGCGACACACCTGTTCACCATCGTCATCTCGGCGGCCGTTCTGCGCGAAATTAAAATTAGAGCGCTCAGATCCAGTTGCGGCCTTCGCGTGCCTCCTCGGCCCCACCTTTGCGATTCGATAAGCATGCGAATGTCGCTGAAGGAGGGGGGTCCGGACGCTATTCGAAGAGCTCAGTGTTTGGGTGACCTTTGACCTCTGGCTTCAGCTGTCGGATCAAAGCACTTTCTGGAGCAGGACAAAGTTTTAAAAAGCTCTGCAGCGACAGGATTTATGTCAATCAGTAGATTAAATCAGAGGTTCTCAAACTGGAAAATAACAATAGCAAAATTATCAAAATAACAATTTAGTGAAATTTTTTGAGAACCAGGGTCCTCAAAAAATTTCACAAAATTGTTATTTTTTTGTTTTTTATTTTTAAAAATGCATAGGGAGCATTGAACTAATAAAAAAAACATAAACTAAATAAAAATAAATATTCTTATGACATTTAGGGGTTAAAATGACAGTAATTTATCTTTTCAAACAGCATGGGGTTTATGAAGGGGGTCCCTGGGATTTTTTCCTCATTCTAAGCATCCCCCCAGACCTAAACTGTTTGAGAACCTCTGGATTAAATAATAAGAATTATGAGTTTTCAGTTTGTTATCCGTACATTCGTGTCCACAAATGGAAAGCACGTCTCCTGTAAACGATACTGGCTTCTTGAGTGCCGCTGAGCAAAAGTAGGACTTGATGGTTAGGATGATCTTAGCATCCTGCAGATGGAAAGATGCCAGCCTGAAGGAAGTATTTGTCACTATCAGCACAAGGATCGCTTGTGTGTGTGTGTGTGTGTGTGTGTGTGTGTGTGTGTGTGTGTGT